GAACTTCAGGTAAGAAGTTATGACCTGCAGTCTATCTGGGTCAGATATAAACCAAGTTTAGGTGGAGTTTATTTTCGTTGTGCTGACTTTTTACAGTCAGTTACAATAACTCGTACTGCGTACTAGCTAGCATGACGGAGTGTCTATGCAGCTGGGTGGGTGCTATGATGTTACTAATAGTGAACTTTATTTAATTCATAAGGTGAGTTAGTAGAGTTGCCAACCATCCCGTAAAAAGACGGAATCGTCCCGCATTCAGAGAAAATATTACACGTTTGGTGTTGAGCTGAGAAGGGACGCAGTTTGTCCCGTACTTCAGCTAGAATGGAAAAAGACACAAAGGTGGATTTATTCTGTTACACTGAACAGCTGCCTCTTCTCTCATTCTTTCCCCTCCCTCTCCTTTGCTACTTCAATCATGATACTGATCATTCATAAGCTGATCAGCTTTTCTCTCTTGTTTGTTTATCGCCACTTTGCACCAGAAGGAGGAAACCGCCGGATGTCGCGCTAAACAACAGCAGCACGTTTAAGCTTGATCAGCTGTTGTTAGAATTTATTTAATATTAATTTCTAGTAGCTGATGTTTGCTGGAGCCACAGCTGTAAAAGCTGCTGGTCATGATATCTGGTGATATCAGGATATCTGCTGAGAGGGAAACATGCAGATGAAACCAGGAGATGTCCTTACTGAATCATCAGAGCTGAACAGGTGATGGAGAAACAGGTTTACCTTTTAGGTGACATGGGTGAGAGGGATTGTAATGAATGAGCTCTCCCCCTTTTAGTGTCTGGAGTTGGGAAGGAGCAGTGTGTGTGGTGTGGGAGGTACCTGGAAAGCTGGCTTCCTGGTTGAACACAAGGTGTCGAAGCAGTGGGAAACGCTGTGGGTCAAAATAAAAGAACTGCAACTGACAATTGAACACTGTGTGGGTCCTGATCATTTCACAGTCAGGTTACTAGAAGGCTGAAGTGTTAAAATAGTGTTTCAGTAAGTTATAACGTAGACCTTTAGTATAAAGAAGTATAATTCAAGTAGAACATCTACATGGATGGAATGACCCAAGGTTTCCCATGAGAACATTGCCTGAAGCATCACACTGTCTCCTCTGGCTTAGTAAATCATAGTCTCAGATGTTCCTCAGTAAAGAACACACACCACCATCCATGTGGTATAAAAAAAGGTCAAACCAGACCTCCTTCCTTTGCTCCGTGTTCTAGTTCTGACATGCTCACATCATTGTGGCACTTTGGTCTGTGGGCGGGGATCAGCATGGGCACCCTGACTGGTCCACGGCTATGCCCCATACACAACAAACTACGATGCATTGTGTATTCTGACACTAGGGGGTACCCCACAAGGATGCCTTCCCCTTACCCAGTATTGACAAGTCCCTTGATGCTTTGTCAGGTGTCATCTGGTTTTCAACTTTGGACCTTGCAGCAGGTTATAGCCAAGTCCCCTTCTGTATTCCATTTAGGC